GAAATTGTGTATTGTTATTACTAAAAGTGAATAAAATTGAGTGTTGAGTTCTAACAAGATGGTTTTTACTAAAAATGAAGTAAAACTATGTTTAGAATCACTCAGAAAATATTGGAAGTCTTATGAGATTCCAATTAAAAGCCAAATAGTGAAATTTAGTGAAAATATAAAATTTGAAATAAGTAAAATTTTATTATTTTATATTGTAGAGAATCTCTTTAGAATCTTGTAGGCGAAAACCTCGTCGAAATCCGAGTTATAACAAAGAAGTTATGACCAACCGAAGATCTGCGACAAAATAAGCACGGCGCCGAATGACGTAAAAAGTGAGTTTTTAATAAACTACTTTTTAGCCTTAGTAATCTAAATGAAAGTCTTAGTATTCGTTAAACCGAGAAATTCGATAAAAAGAACGCCAAAATCTGACTTCGTATAAGGAAATTATGATTTTTCGAAGTTTCAACTTAGCATTAGACAGCTAAAAACTAGAATTTTAGATCGAGCGATATTTGACCGATACTTCCTAAACGAGAATCGAAGGTCACTTCATTTTTAGTACAATGGTAAAAAGTCTGACAAAAGCAGATGTCGAATGAAGAAGTTATGAATTGTTAACGGATTTTCCTGTCTCGGTCTGTTAAAAATAAAAATATTAAAAATAAATTGAAAATTAGCCGACGAAATCTAAACGAGAGTTGTAGAGCGTAATTTTAGCTACGCATTCATATAAAGAACGTCAAAAACGGAGCTCGTATGCGAATGTTATGGATTTTAGAAATTCGGGGCTCAAAATCCGAGAATTTCACATGAATAGTACCAAACACCGGAGAGCCTCGTCGCAGCCACGTCACCTCGCACGAAGCAGGTGCATCACCGGACTCGTGGCCTCGCCCTGTAGCACCACGTGTACGAGCTGGAGACGTGTCTGCTTTGCATGTCCCTCGCAGCTGCTGCCACCGAGCTGCTTCGCATCTGCTTCCGTCCGAGCCTCGCCGGAGCCCTACGCAGCTGCTGTGTGTGTTCACTGAGTCACCCTCCTCCAGACTGAGCCTCGCAGATGCGACGTGGCCCTCACTGCTGATGCCACCGAGCTGCTTCGCTGCCTGCTTCCTTCCCAACCGACTTCAGCCTCTCGCCCTATATAAAGGGAGGCTGCGAGACTTGCCAACTAATTTTGGAAAACTGCCATTTTTGGCCCCTTTTCCCATATTTTCTTCATTTTGACTTTCCCCGAAGCCTCGGTTTCATTTTTAAAGCCTGGAACACGTTTCGAAGCTCTCGAGAAGCCAGAAAATTTTATCTTTTCGGTTTTGAAGCCCTACCTTCGCAGAGCCCGGTTTTCAATTAAGCTCCCGATTTTCAACATAGAAAGTCATATTTAAAGCCGAAGTGTTGTCCAAATTAGTATTTTAACCCCGGTTAACTTAAGGTGAGTTCAATATATAGGAACAATTGTATCTTATGTGTTATATGTGCTATGTGCTTCTCAGTGTTATTATTCCGAGTTATTTTCCCGTGTTATTTTATTCGCTATGTTTATAGCAAATATAATACCTTTGACCATGTGATCAGTGAAAGGACTTAGATTCACATTGGTACTGGTACATAGCCTCTGGCCATGTAGTGCATGTCTCCGTAAGAGAATGACTTCTATTCTATGGCATTGGCAGAAAGTTAGATAGGAATGGTATGTAGCCTCCGACCATGTAGAGCATGACTCTGTAAGGGAATGAACTCTATTCTATGGTATTGGCAAATTGTTAAACAGCGCGTGAAAACCTGAAATCTACCGAAATGCTAAACAGGGCGTGAAAACCTGAAATCTATCATATTGATAATCAGAAATTATACATCTTCTATTCCATTTGGGCCAAAGCTTTATTGATGCATATCAAGTATTGAAATCGTTATGTCTCATTGAAAAGTATATCTTTGAATAAAGTCTTTGATTGATATGAACGCTTGTCACATGATTTCACATATGTCTTGTTGTTCCTCTTTGCTTTTGCCAAATTGAAGTATATATAAGGCATAAGATTATATTGTATCTATTTATTGAATTCACTAAGCATTATCGCTTATTCCTCTCAATGTTTAACAATTACAGGTGATGAGTATCCAATATAGTTTTATACTGCTGAAAGATTTAGAATAGTTAATACTATTTCTCTGTATTTTAATGTTCATGTATGTATATGAATAGTAGATTCCTAGGTAGACATGAAATGTAATAAAACTTAGTCGGTTTGTATCGAATCTTTTGTAATCACTTTATCAATATAAAATTGTTGTTTTATAAATATGCATGTAGCATGTTTTGAAGAGGTACCTTAAGAGATTTTATCTAAAATAGTATGAAAGTTTGGCTCTTTCATAAATACGAAAGTTGGGGTCTTTTAAAGAGTCAATGACAGTCTCCCTAAAAAGTGGGGTGGTTTTTAAGAAAGTTGTTATTTAAAATAATTCTTTAAAATATGTGAAATTTTTTTATTAGTATTGATCGGAAGTACTTACTTATTTATCATTGTAATCATATTTATTTCAAAATTTTATTTTAAAAATGTTTAATATTTTATATATTTGTATTTAATTTTTTTTAATCAACCCGTGTCATACACGAGTCTCACACACACACACACACACACACACATATATATATATATATATATACATATACATATATATAGGCTTTGGTTATTCTATTTAAAATATCTATTGTGTTATTGTATGCAAAATTGTGGACCAATCAATTATTTAATTTCTAAACGAAAATGATTAATATTTAAATGATATACAATAAATGAAAATGGATGCTCAATTAAAGATAACGGTTGAATAAGAGTATAAGTGTACATTGTTCTCTCCATTAAAATAGGAAACTGAATAAATTGATGAAAACTACCGACATAATCACTATAACATCGCATGCACCTAGATTCCACTACCCTCTGTATCGGAACACAAAATTAAACTATATGTTCTTTACTCGACCAAAAAATCGGTGGATTTTGTGGTGTATGTTATATAAAGTGATCAATTCTTGAATATTAATTACAGAAATTGTGTTGTAATCGTTAGAAGTAAAAGATAACGGTTGAATAGGAGTATAAGTATACAAGGACGAGTTCTTTCAAATCGAAATTTAAGAACACACAAGAAACAACATTGAATCTAGATGAAGACGATGATGATTTCGTCACTCAGCGTATAGGTAATTTTTTTTATAAATATGTTTTTTAAGGAAATCGTTTGAGTACACACCATTCTTTTGGAATTTTCTATAAATTAAGCACTTGCGTGTGGATGATTAGTTAGTTTAAGTAAAAAAGAATGAAATAGTTTTAAAAAAATGTTATTTTTAGATTAGAGTTTTATGAAATTGGGGTTTAAAACTCGATAATTTTTTGTTAAATTTAACTGATATGCGAAACAATCATTCTTCTAGAATTTCAACATAGTTAACATTTTTTCTGTTAGAATTAGTAGTGTTGTTTGTGTTTGATTTTTTTTTAAATGTTGTTAGTTTAGTTTTTAAAAAAAATTCATAAAACTGGGATGTGTTTGATGTTCTTGAAAAAATTTTGAAGGTATTATTTGTAAGTTTTTTTTTATGGTTTTCGTTTTTTTGGAAATATAAATATTTTTTAGTTATAGTTCTAATCCCTTGTTTTTGAAGGTTTACTTTATTTGTATAGAAAGTATGAATCATATTTGCATAGAGTAATATTAAGGTTTTGTGTTTATCTTAATTGAGAATGGTAGTGTTGTTTGTGTTTGAACATATTCTCATAGAATAATAATAAGGTTTTGTGTTTATATTAATTTAGACTGGGAACATGTTCAGTGTGTAGAAATATTATGTTAGAATTTTTTTTTTTTATTGTAATGGTCATAGGAAATGCATTCTTCAAGATTTTGAGCATATTTAAAATACTTTCTTCTAGTGTTGGTAGTGTTGGATGTGTTTGATTTTGTTTAAGAATTCTCAGTTATTTTTTTTTATTTAATCATATTCTCATAGAATAATAGCAAGGTTTTGTGTTTATATTCATTAAAAAATGGGAACATGTTAACTGTGTATAAATAATCTGTTAGAATGCTTTCTGTTTTTATAATGTACATGTTAAGTGTTGGTAGTGTCATATGTGTTTGAACATATTCTTATAGAATAAGGGTAAGGTTTTGTGTTTTTATTAATTGAGAATGGGAACATGTTCAGTGTGTAGAAATATTCTGTTAAAATGATTTTTGTTATTGTAATGTTCATATGAAATGCTTTCTTTAAGATTTTGAACATATTTAAAATACTTTCTTCTACTGTTGGTAGTGTTGGATGTGTTTGATCTTATTTAAGAATTCTTAGTTATTTTTTAATTTAATCCCCTGATTTTGATGGTTTACTTCATCTGTATAGATTATATGAATCATATTCTCATGGAATAACAGCAAGGTTTTGTGTTTATATTCATTAACAATTGGGAACATGTTAACTGTGTATAAATAATATGTTATAATGCTTTCTGTTTTTATATTGTACACGTTAAGTGTTGGTAGTTCTGAAATGTTTATGTTTATATTCATTAAGAATGGGAACATGTTAAGTGTGTATACATAATATGTTAGAATGCTTTCTGTTTTTGTAATGGTGTTCTGAAATGCATTCTTTCAGAATATGTATGTATTTAATATATTTTCTTTATGAAATGCATTCTTCCAGAATATGAAGGAGAATGTGTCAGAAGTGAGCAAATTGATAGAAATATTGTTGGATCAAGAAAAAAAAGAAACAGAAGAAAAAAACTTCAAGATCGGAACATGCAAAGAATAATGTTGAATCTGGAAAATCAGGTAGCATCATTATTGCATGAAATTATTTTATTCATAGAATTTAATTATGAGAATGCTGGTATAACATTAATTATTGTATTCATGTTCTAGTAGATAGTGAGTAATTATGTTTGTGTGATTGAACAGATGTTAACAAAAATATAGAAGAGACAATGCCAAGTGATAACGCAGTTGTTGGAAGGATGAAAAAGAAAGGTTTTGCGAGAAGTACACCTGCTAAGGATTGTAATAAATCCTCCGAAGCAAGTGGTGAAAGGAAAAAACCAAGAAGTCTAAATGTGTTACTTTTGAGGAGTATGAGTGGGTCAAAGAAAAACAATGAAAAGGAAAATTTTGGTGTGCAAATGGAAGAAAAAGAAAATATTGTAAAGAGAAAAAAGGTAGTGAATGATGCACATTCAAAGAAATATACAAAGAGAAAGAAGGGAAAAATAGGGCATGAAAATGTTAATATCAAAACAAAAGAGCAGAAGGTTAGAAAGGTAAGCAAGGACCATCTAGAAGGGTATAGAACACTTGCAACTAGGATGACTCCTAGTAGGATTAGTGCAACTGTCAAAGTAATGTCCCCTGCACAGAAAACTGGGATTGTGTGTATGGGTTTTGGTTCACTTCTGAACATTGGCATGGACACTGCTCCAGAATTACTTAACTACTATTTGTTAGATCACTATGATCCGGATGGTAGCCATCTAGTTCTGGAGAATATGGTCATAACAATTACGAAAGACACAGTGCATGACATGTTGGGTTTACCAAATGAAGGGGAAGACTTCTTGAGCATGACTAGTTGTGAGAAAGATAATCAAGTTCTGCAAGAATGGAAAAGTCAATAGGATAAAAAGGGTTTAATGGGGAAGAATACCTGAAAAGGATCAAAAACACAAAGCAAGACAGTCTTATGTTTTGGCTGAATTTTCAACCCTTTTCATTAATACATTTGTGGAATCAACTTTGAGTGGTACCAATGAAATAAATGTTGTGAATAAGTTAGTCATGGTAAAAGACTTCTCTAAAATAGATTGGTGTAAGTATATTCTAAATTATTTGGTCAGCAGAAAGCAGCTGTGGAGAAGGGATGATAAGACATGGTATTACAGTGCACCTATACTCATTTTGACGGTAATTTTGGTATCTCGATTAGATATATACTTTAATGTATGATAGTATATGTTTAATGATGTAATTGATGAAGTTTTTTTATGTAGCTGGTGTATGTATATAACATGAAGTTTACAGGATTGAAGATAGTTAAGAGGTTACCATTTGTTAGGAATGTTACGGGTGATATTCTTGAAAAAATAGAGAAGATGGAAATTAGTGTTGGGGGGGTTTGGTAGACAGCTACTAGAAAACTTTGAAAATATTGATGGTGATGAAGAAATGGTTGATGGATATGAAATGTCGGATGGGCTAATGAGATTGTATGGGGATGAGGATGTAAGGCTTTTATTCTATTAAAATTTCATGTTAATTAGAATTTAATGTAAATTAGAATTTCATAAACTGATTTTCTAGAATCTACATTGTGTTTTATAATTTCATAAAACTTATTTTACAGAATATTTATACACACTTAACTGATTTAAGTTGTATTATGTGTCACAATGTTAGTGAGGTAATATGTATGTTGAAGATTAATTTGTCAGAACTACTTTTACTGATTTGTTAAATTAAAACTTACAGGCATACATAGTTGTTATAGAGCATAACTATGGAATAATATTGTGCGAGAAGAAGAATATTGAAAAAGCTCTAAAAAATGGAATTGTGAAATTCCCAGACAGCTTGATGTTGAAGGAGTTGTACGAAAAAAAATCAAGAATTGTTCAAGGAAGTGAATAAGGCAGATAATGGAGGAATGAATAGTAATGAAGCTCGTTTTGATGGTCATAGAAAAGAAGGAGATTCAGATGGTGGTAAGGAAGAACAATTCTCTCCAGTTAGAGGATTGGTAGTTAATGGGGGATCTTCATGATGATGGTGGAGGTTTCAGTACACCTAATGTGGAAAAGGTAGTTAATACAGACAATTTAACCTGTTCACAATTCTTGGAGCAACTTGAAGTGTTGGTGACAACAATTAAAATGGCAGATGATGTTGTGTTGGAAAGTTATAAAAAAGATAAAAAATAATAATAATAATAATAATAATAATAATAATAATAATAATAATAATAATAATAATAATAATAATAAAAAAGAGGAAAAGAAATCTTGGAAACAGTTGAAGTATGTGAGGAATATAATGGCAATGGAAAAAGGGGGAAGAGAGAGCAAAAGATACTTGTATATGGAAAATCACATTTTGTTGAAAGGATTGTGAAAATCGGGAACAAGGTAAAGAAGGATGAAATGGCATTATACAATTCAGTTTTTGCATCAAAAAGAGATTATGGGTAAGTTAAATAATATAATTTTTGTTGTTTGATTTTAAAATGTGGTGTTATATGATTGATCATTTTATAATTGTTGATCAGGGAAGAGATATGGAACATTGGGAGCGGTCATGTGTTGCATCAAGGATTCGCATATCATTTTAAAAGCAACACGTTTATTCATGTGATAATGATTGACTGTTGCTCATCATTACTCAACAAAATGGAAGAACTAAGGGATGTAGGATTGGTTTCTAGGATTTTCTTCGACACAAATTTTTTGGTTAGTATTGAATTTAAATTAAGTTCAAGTCCAATAATATGTGTTGTTTTGATTGATTTTCTAATCTGTACAGGCAGAAGAGATATTAGGTGGATCAATGTCATCTGATAGAACTCAAAAATTGTTTGATTCAATGTTGATACTACACCTTAAAAGTCTACCAAAACCGGAAAATCTTAAAGATATTGGACAGGTAATTTAATTAACTATTGTTTTTTTTATCGATTACAACCCTAACATACAAAATTAGCTTATTGTTATAAAATCTGTTTTATGTCAGGTTTTCTTCCCAATAGTTAATAAGAGTAAATATTATCTGATATGCTTTGATCTAAGGGTTCCAACTTACTACATTATAGACCATGTGAACCAAAATGGTGCTGTTGAGGACATCTATGGAACAAAACACGTTCGTGTGGTATGATTCATTTTTATTTTTTATAATATCTAAAAAACACGAGTTTAATAGTGTATTGTTAATTGATTGTATTGTATCACAGAAAAAATGGCTTGGGAACTATTTAAAAACAGGGAATTATCAAAAGTCAACAACTTTCAACAAGATTAAACCTTGTGTAATGAAAATGCCATGGAAAGTAGAGAAAGAAGGATCGGACTGTGGAGTATATATAACACCCAAACTTTTCAAAAAAAATTTACATTTTCAAAAAGACATACTTTCATTCATAAATATTGTAAAAATGTCATTGTATCACATTTCAACCATAGAAACACAACCCAAGATCATAATGCATAAAAACTCCTCATGTGTGTACTGATCATGCCGGCGCCATCTCACGATCCTCACTGGTACCTGAAATAGATAACACAACATTGTAAGCATAAATGCTTAGTGAGTTCCCCAAAATACTGCATATAACACATATTAGCTACTCGAGGCTATAACTTTGTGGACCCTCTGGTCCTAACTCTGTGAACCTTCCGGTTTTAACTCTGTAAACTCTGGAACATACACAACATAAATCACATAGAAATAATCCAGTGCATCACAATCACATAAATAGCATGTAAGATACTCTGTCATATAACTCTAATTACCACTCTAGGTAAAGTATAGTGAGAAGACTCACCTCGGGTAACTCGGTAATCTCGAACTCTGTAAAAATCTGATCTAGCCTCCGCCTAATCATACGAAATAAACACTCTTAATCAATATGTCTCTCAAGGCTAGACTATTCCCTCTCTTAGTACTCTCAGAAGGGTAAAAGACCATTTTACCCCTCTCGTGGCTCAAAGACCCTAAGGTTGACCAAACCCTAAAAGTAAACAAAAGTCAACTCTCCGGGTTACGCTGCGTGTACCAAACATGTACGCTGGGCGTACCCGGCGTCCTCACAGAAATGAGGTAAACTACCCCTTACATCGCGCTTATTGGGATTACGCCTTGCGTAACTCCCAGTTTCAGATTCATTAGCTTTTAGGGTCTTAAACAGTTAAGACACACGTCCAACTTTTAGATTTGACCATCCCTAAGCCTCTTAATCCATATAGTTGGTGACTTTAAGCCTTTGCATGGTTGGACAAGTCAGTAATACCCATAACATTCCGTTTCCAACCCTAAAAAGCTCATAACTCAAGCATGACCCCATAACAACGACCAAGTTGGGATTTTTATAGATCTATAGCACAAATATCACTGAAATGGGACAGATCTAGGTCCATGGAGTCTATTACACTCATAATGTCTCCACCTTGAGGAAGTTTAACCCTAGAAATGGTCCATGCAACATCAAACCAAATAAAGAGGAAAGTTTTGAAGTTTATACCTCTACATGAAGCTCCTTCCTCTGAAGATCCCAGATCCAAACTTGCACTTCAATCCCTAGCCTCCACAATCTCCTCTCCTTCTTCTTCAATAACGCACCAAGGCACTGTTAGCTCCAAAACACTCACACTCAAGCTAAGGACGATGGAAGGCTCTCTTAGGGTTTCAATCTCTGATATGGAGGCTGAGAAATGAGCATTATCATCCCTTATAATAGTGCACAAGACAAATATTAGGGTTTGCATTTGGGGCCCGCTACGCCCAACGTAACCCTGGGTACGCCGAACGTACCCAGGCGAGTCCGCGTCCAACTTAAGCGCATGAGTACGCGCAGCGTACGCCCAACATACTTGTTTGCTACAAAAATCATTACATTGACTAATCTTGACAACTTACCAAAAGGGAAGGGTTAAATAGCTTTACCTTAGTTTTGGGATGTTACAATTCTCCCCCACTAAAACCAGACTTCGCCCTCGAAGTCTCATGCTGGAAATAACTCCGGATGCTGCTCCCGCATCTCTGACTCCTGCTCCCAAATCAGCTCAGATGCCTTCCAATGTTGCCACTGGACCTGAACCAAAGGCACTTCCTTGTTTCTCAGAATCTTGAACTTCTGGTCCAAGATCGCGATTGGTCTCTCAACATAATTTAGGCTCGCGTCCACCGGGATATCCCCCAATGGTACCACTGCCGACTCGTCGGCTATATATTTCCTCAGCTGAGACACGTGGAAGGTATCATGGATCTGGCTCAGATATGCAAGTAGCTCCAAACGATATGCTACCCTACCCACCCTCGCGATCACCCTAAACGGTCCAATGTACCGAGGCCCCAACTTGCCCCTTTTCCTAAATCTGATCACTCCTTTCCAAGGAGACACTTTTAGGAGTACAAAGTCTCCAACCTGAAACTCAAGCTTGGATCGTCGCCTATCCGCATAACTCTTCTGGTGACTCTGGGCCGTCAGCAACCTCTGTCTAACCTGTTGAATCTGCTCGGTTGTCTAAAGCACTATCTCGGTGCTACCCTACCTCTCCCCAACAGATGGGAGTCCGGAACCTACTCCCATACAACAACTCGAAGGGAGGCATACCAATGCTTGAATGGTGGCTGTTCTTATAAGAAAACTCAACTAAAGGCAGATACATGTCCCAACTCCCTCCAAAGTTCAATACACATGCCCGAAGCATGTCCTCGAGCGTATGAGTTGTCCGCTCACTCTGTGGGTGGTAAGCGATATTGAAATGCAACCTAGTACCCAAATCCTCATGGAACTTCTTCCAGAACCTGGAAGTGAAACATACATCTCGATCTGACACAATCGAGATCGGTACACCATGCCGCGATACCACCTCCCTCACGTACACCTATGCCAGCCTCTCTGCGGAAGAGCTCTCATTGATAGCAAAAAAATGAGCGCTCTTTGTCAGCCGGTCGATGATCACCCAAATTGCATCGACGCCTCTCGCAGTCCTCGGCAATTTGGTGATAAAATCCATGGAAATTTGTTCCCACTTCCACTGGGGAACCTCAATTGGCTGCATCTTTCCATGTGGACATTGGTACTCGGCCTTAACCCTGCGACAGGTCAAGCACCTCTCTACAAACCACGTCACGTCCCTCTTCATACAAGGCCACCAATAGTCTCTTTTCAGGTCGAAATACATCTTAGTGGCCTCAGGATGGATCGAAAACCTCGACTTGTGCGCCTCCTCCATCAAAATGGCATGTGCCCCGCCCTCAAATGGCACCCAAATCCGGATCTGGAAGGTTATAAGCCCCCGATTATCGGCAATGAACTCAGATATCTATCCGATCACCCACTCTCGCTTGCGGTTCTCCGGTCTCATGGCCTCTACGTGGGCCTCCCGAATGGTGTCCAACACCGGAGTCATCACTGTCAACCTCAAACAAACATCTCGTAATGGGGAACCCTCTGCCCTATGACTCAAGGAATTGGCTACCACGTTAGCCTTACTGAGGTGGTATAGGATCTCACACTCATAATCCTTTATCATGTCCAACCATCTCCTCTGACGCATATTCAGGTTGGGCTGATCCATCAGATACTTCAAGCTCTTGTGGTCCATATATATAGTACACTGAAACCCATACAAATAGTGACGCTAGATCTTGAGGGCGAACACCACAACCCCCAAATCCAGGTCGTGGGTAGGATACCTCGTCTCATGAGGCTTCAATTGCCTTGATGCGAATGCTATCACATGACCTCTCTACATTAGCACTGCACCCAGTCCCGATATCGACGCATCACAATATACCACAAAGTCCTCCATTCCCTCCGAAAGGGCCAATACCGGGGCTTCACATAATCTCTGGTGAAGTGTCTCGAATGAGGCCCGCTGCTCTGGACCCCAACTAAATGCTACGCCCTTCTGAGTCAACTTGGTGAGAGGAATCGCAATCTTGGAGAAATCTTTGATAAATATCCGATAATAGCCGGCCAGCCCTAGAAAACTCCTGATCTCTGAGGGGATCTCGGCACCTCCCAACTCATCACCACCTCAATCTTGGGCGGATCGACCAATATCTCGTTCTGGTTGACGAGGTGTCCTAGAAACTGGACCTCTCGTAACCAGAAATCATACTTGGAGAATTTGGCGTAAAGCCTCTCCGATCTCAGAACCCCGAGGATCTCCCTCAAATGCTCCTTCTGTTGCTCTCTCGATCTCGAATACACCAATATATCATCAATGAACACGATTACTGAATGATCCAACATCGGCCTGCACACCCTGTTCATGAGGTCCATGAATGTTGTCGATGCATTGGTGAGCCCAGAAGGCATCACCACGAACTCCTAATGCCCATAGAGAGTCCTGAATGCTGCCTTTTGGATATCCTTATCACACACCCTCATCTGATGATATCCAGACCTCAAATCAATGTTGGAGAACCACGACGCTCCCTGCAACTGATCGAACAACTCGTCGATCCTCGGTAAGGGGTAACGGTTCTTGACCGTCAGCTTGTTCAACTCCCGGTAATCAATGCACATCCAGTGTGAACCATCCTTTTTCTTGACAAAAAGGATCCGCGCTCCCCACGGCAACCTACTCGGCCATATAAACCCCTTTCCCAGCAGCTCTTGAAGCTGCGACAATAACTCCTACATCTCTGGAGGTGCAAGGCGATAGGTGTTGCCCCCGGAACCAAATTGATACGAAACTTCACCTGCCTCTCGGTAGGCACACTCGGAAACTCCTCGGGGAAAACATCCAGGAACTCACGCACTATTGGGACCTCATCGACTGACCTCAGTCTCTCTGCACCTACTCTCGTATCCACCACATAAGCCATAAACCCACTACAGCCCTGCTGTAGACTCTACCTTGCTCTTGCGACTGAACAAAATGTTGACCCAGAACGGGAACCCTCGCCATAAACCATAAGAACTCCCCCACTAGGGTCTCGTATGGTCACCAGTTGTCGCTCGTAGTCGATAACCGCTCAAAATATACTCAACCAGTCCATGCCCACAATGACAAAAACATCTCCCATAAAAATCAGGACCAAATTAATCGCATACTCAATGTCGAAGATCTCGAGTACACATCCTCGAATCACATCCATGGCATACACTGCTCTCTCGTCAGCTATGGAAACTCGCAAGTTCA